TATACCATCTGTAGATATTTAAATGATACAATTGCCTAATACTATGTTAATCTGCAGCAAACAAATCTTAAAACAAAAGAAGTGCGAGGCTTGTGACCACTTCTTTCCAAAAAAAGAGAGGGCTACTGCTTTCTGTGTTCCACACCGGTATGCTCACAATCGACAATTAAACTTTTAATAAATGCTGGCCACATGAATGCAGAGAAGCTGTATTAATTTCTTTCACAGGTCATTTAAAACTTCACCACAATGATTGATGCCATAAAATACAATTTGCTTGGTTAGCATTTCAAAATGGGATTTGAACTCTTAAGCAGTGGTTGGCCTCAGAATCAAGATTTTGCTGGTGTTCCTATGGAACATTAAGTGACAAGAGTAATGTATTTTCCTACGCTTTTGTCTCCCCCATGCTGGGTAATTGCTGCCTGGTTTCCACTATTGTGAAGGGATAACGGCTAGTAAGGCCTTAGTCATTATATCGCCACCCACTTTCCCCTGTAACACAAGTTCTGATCTCTTCTGCATCTTTTGATCTTTGGAGCTGACAATGGTTGTGCCATGGAAATGTAGCTAATGAGTGGCAACTATGACTCCAGGCTTCGTGCAGTAAAAAAAGTGCCTGCTGGTCTCCCCCTGTCACAAACTGCAATTAAGTAAACACAAAAAGAAACATAAATGTAAGGAAAGCACATACACGTGCACTTACACACATGCAGCCTTACATTTAGCAGTCGGTAGATAAAAACTGACAGACTAAGCAGAATACATGATAAGGCCCAATGAGATGACATTCAGAATGCTGGCAGAGAATGAAACATGGCATGGCATTTTAAATGTTTTTATATCAAGGCTCATGGTGCATAATTAATGTAAGTGTTGAGGTTTTCAGCACATAATAAGCTTTTTGAATGTCACAACCCAGGCCAGGAGAGATATATAATCCCTTTCAGCATATTCCACGCCTGGCCTGTTCCGGGACTCCATCCTAATTTGACATGTCATGAACGCCTACACAGAGGGGTCCTACTCAGATGCTTGAACCACCTCAACTTCCTTGACTTCTTTCAGTGTGAAGGAGCAGCAGTTTTTCTTCAAGCATCCTCTTGATGTCTGAGTTCCACATACTGTCCCTGAATTCCTGACTACAAATGAAAAAGAAGTAGTGAAGTATTCACTAAAGGCCTCCATCATTGGCAATGCCAACCTTGCACCAGTCTGCCCATCGATCCCACACTTCATCTTGTCCTCATAGATTCTAAAATAGTTTATCTACTTCATGTATGGCAGCATCTTGGATACTTGGAGGAACCAAGCTGCCTCACATTACCCCAGGGCATGATCAGACACACCAACTTAATCTCAACTATAGTCAAAAGCATGATCGAACATGGCAGATCAGATTATATGACTTCAAAGTGAATCATCATTGGCCATCAATCATCTTGGCCTAAGGTGTTTTGTTATCGACAGTCCATGACAGGTTTAATGACCCTAGGCAACTTTTTGGGAGACTCAAAGAAGGCCATTCTCACACACACAATTGGACAGAGGTGATGCTGTCGTTCATTGGTGAAAACTGTAAGACTGCAGTGCTCAGCCAGGGATTCATGAGTATCTCCACAACAGAACAGTCCAGCACCTATCCAGGAGTTTGGCTGATGTTCAGGTGCATCGGTAGCCCAGGGGTCTAAGGTGCAGAAGAACCTTTGTTGCATGTCATTCCTCTCACAAAGGAAAAGGAAAAAACAAAAACAAAAAAGCTGAGGCTGTGTGTAGGGTTAAGCCTAGTTAGTGAATGGCACTGCTTTACACCCTACAGGAGCTCCCAATACCACCTAGAGGTAGCATTCCATGTCCCAAGTGTTGGCTCTGTAATCAGAGGTCAGTCCATCAAGTCCCCTGCCTCAACTGGCAGCACAACAGACCCTACACTGACTAGGCCCCACATATACAGGCCCAGTTACCTGCTACTTACCTGTGAGGAACTCAACAAGGCCTGGTTCCAGAAACTAGACCTGGTTTCCCTGATCTGGCACAGCCTCTCCCAGCCAAAAAAGCATTGTAGGTCTTTGAATCACATTTAGTGTGAAACATCATCTGGCACCAGTTTGCTTTGGGAGACCCTACCAGCAGCTATTAACAACACAGCTCTCATGGTCATGGGGACACATAAACTCCCACAGAAATTGCATTATTACAACCAAATGCAATTCAGAGTGTGCTGCTGGGAAATAAAAGTTGAGGTTGGATTGATAGTTATGGCAGTGGGACGATTGGGTACTCCCTTTTTACCTTGTAAACCAACAAACTACTAATATTTGGTGAGGTCTGCATACAGTTAGGACAAGGCTGCTACAATAATATAGTGGAGTGAAAATGTGACCAGAAGGTCTTGTGAGGCAATGGCAGGTGCTCTAAAAACAGCTTCACCGCGATAATTCGAGGCTGATACACTAACAAAAGAATAACAGAGAACATGTAGGCTCATTCGGTTGGGACTGTCAGATTGACACAAGACAGACAAAAGGGAACAAGTGAATCAGTTCCTGAAAACAACTAACTGGGGATCAGTCTCCGAGGTGACTGCGGTGACAACATTGCCAGTCCGCTTGTGTTGAAGTATGACAGTGACATTTATCCTCGGCACAGCATGAGTTCAATCAGCCAAAGTCTCTGGAGCATTCATTCATTTAATAAGTTTGTAATATGTATGCAGAGTATAAACTACACTGAAGTCCTCACACAAATTTAGGCTTTATCTTAAGCGTGACTTGCATATATGAGTTATGAGTATGGATTTAAGAGGGAAACATTTGGGAAAATTCCAAACACTGAGCCTGTGTATCCTGATAAGGTAATGTTTTTGTTGACCAAAGACAACATGGCATTACAAAAGAACCGTCTTCAGATTTAATAACAACACTTTGAGTCGACAACAAACAGGCCATGGAAAACCACTATAATACAGCATTTTTTTTAATAGGAAAAACAGATGGCCTAATTTACTTTTCTATTTGGAACAGTAAGATAAGCAGAAGTGATTCAGTGTCAATTCAAAATGTGAAATATGCATGCAAAATTGTAGACTTGGTTGCAGATGAAAAGTGAAAATGTTTTCCATGCATGTTGGAGGTTCTGCTTGATAAATGATTCTAGTGTGGCTAATGACAACCACTTTGTGTGCCATGTGAAAATGGTGACATCAGGCTCTGGAAACATGATTTTGTGCTTCAATACCTGCCCTTCCTGGTGCAGAGTGCTGCCAACATGAGCCTGTGTCTGGATAAGGACACCACAGCAGAGGTCTGTCCTGAAGCTGGTCTCATAAAAACCAGCTCTGCACGCAGCACAATTTAGCCCTGCCCACCAAATCAAGACTAATTAAGCGCAAACCAACTACAGAAATTTCAAAGGGTAATTCACTTAAATTGGAGGAATTATTTCCAATGCCTGTGCTCTCCACAGACTAAAAACAGCTCAAATTTACTTTTAACAGCAAACAGAAACAAAAGCAGAGCTTTTGTGTGGTCGCATTGAGTAACTTTATTGAGATAGAAAATTAAGAGAACTGCTAAAATAAATGGGTGGTAATTCAACACAGGCAAAGCCATAACTAAAGAAGGAACAGATGTGTAGGCACCAGAGGTTACTAGTTTATACTTTCATCTACTTGGTGATATGTTACATCAGTTTCTACACAGTACAAAAGGTGGATTAGTCTGCACAAAAGGTACCACATATTAAAGCACTTCTTGTCTGAACGGACAACAGATTTGGAATTGTATCCGACTGTAAGACTATCAGTAGTTAATATTAGTAAAAGGCTCACTACTGTGGGTGGCATGAGACCTAACACAGTGTCATTGTGGCCAGGCTGCAAGACACAACATGCCCATTGTTTGTTTAAAGGGAAAAGTCAGACATTTTGGGAAAAAATTTGCTTTCTTGCTGAGAGTTAGATGAGAAGATCGGTAACAGTGTCATATCTGTCTGGTAAATATGAAGCTACAGCCAACAGGTGGTTAGCTTAGTTGAGCATAAAGACTGTAAACAGCGGAAAACAGACAGCGTGTCTCTGTTTGAAGGTAACAAAATCCACCCAACCAGCACCTCTAAACCTGAAGTGTAGAAACGTGTATGTGTGAGACCATTTCTGGTATCGGTAGGTGGATTTTGGCAGAGCCAGGCAAACTGTTTCCCCCCATTTCCAGTCTTCAGCTGCTTGTTGTAGCCTTGTATTTAACAGATAACGATATATAATTCTCGGCAAAAAGGAGAGTAAGCATATTTCCCAAAATGCCAAACAATTACATTAAATCTGTACATATTTAAAAAGTGTCAGCCCACTTTTTGTACATTTTTACAAAAGGTTGTAGATATAAGGTCAGAGAAAAAAGATAATAATCATTTCTTCATAAGCAATGCTTTGGGCTAATGTTTAGTCAGCACACAGTATGAAGACCCAGCTGGATATTATACGAGCACATGGTCCAAAATGTATGGCAAAACTTGAACACGGACATTAAAATTTCAAAGTAAATGAGTGAGGGGTCCCTGCGTCCTCGGGTGCAAAGGGATGCGCAGTCAGATGTGAGATCATTGCCTCTGACTGCAAAAGGGTGGAAAATGCGTCATCACAGGCCAGACATCAAAGAGCGCCAGTCCATAGGGGTTAACATCCAAAAGAGGTTAGCAGAGGTTATAAAAACACATCTATAAACACAGGCCCCACCAATGAGCCATACTGTCAGTTATTACTGGCACTGTTTGGTCATAATAAACTAACATTAGGTAAGAATAAGGTACATGGAGGCACCACATGCGCAAGAACATTCACACAGGGAGACACCCCAGAGGTGTCAGAAAAAACGAGCATGTCAACATTAACTTTTATTAGCTGATGGAAAAATGAGACTAATGGTCTTACTGAAGCTTGACAGAAAAGAGAAATTTGTTGAACTTTAGAGGTGATGGGGACACCGACTGTGGCGGTTTTCCCTTAGCTTTCAATTAAAGCAAATACTCAACAGAGAGACACATTAACTAATGAGTGTTAAACACAATATGAACTTTTGAGAGTAATGTGTTCAGACTTCTCTTTAACTGCTGAGATTTATAATTAAAACATTTTTATTAAGCGTTTTTCAAGATACTCATATGCACTTAAGTTAAAACAGATCCTAGATAGCTAAAAAAAAAACTAAAGGCACAAGGTAGCACAGGACTTTAAATCAAATATTAGAGGCCATTTGTTCATAATCAAGCTTTATACTGACATTTAATAGCTGTACTTGAGTTTTCAATCATATCACATGATCTTCATTAGCAGATAGAGTTTGTCCGTTGTCATGGAATGTTCCTTTTTTCACTTTTTCACTACACTTTTTCTCATCCATGTTGACTTAGAAATTGAGTTTCAAAGTGCCCACTATTGACATTGGCATCTCAAGGTCAATTTATTAGGTGTTTTGGAGCTTTCAATCATATCACATGATTATTATGAACAAATGGAGTCTGATGAAGAAAAGAAAAAATTGACTACGATAGGGGTTTTCAGGACATTAACAGATATCTTCATCACACTGTCATCTGTATGATGAGCATAGTCATCCACTGTTTCCAAGGTACAGTACTATGGAAGTTACTGATACTGATGAGATGAACTAAAAATTATACTTTTATTGTGTTTGGTCTGATACTAGTTTTAGGAGCCACCACAGATATGGAGAGAGTATAACACTGATACAAAATGGTTTCCCAAAAAATACTTTATTTAAGAATGCTTTCAGACAGATGAGCTAAACCTAAATTATAAAAATGACACTTAAATGATTCTCTGTGTATATATATATATATATATATATATATATATATATGCAAACAATACAACCATCATTCTTTCTTAAATCAATCTGTTTAAAACAACTGTCGGGTTGCATTGGTCCACTGTTTACCGACACAAGCATGATCACTTCCTGTCAGATATGTCTGACTCCATTCATTTCATCCTGAACATCTGGGCATTATCTTTCCAATCCACAGCTGTCAGCAGCATTAGCTGACTCATTTGCATCCTGACAGTGACGGGTACGAACAGGCCCCGGCTCTTTCACAGCATCCTCCTTAGTCATGCTGACCTCAGCTCTTTCTCGGGCAGCTGAACTGTCAACTAATTTATACACTGATCCCTACTGCTGTCACTGTGTTTATTAATACTAGCATTAACATTAACTGTCCGTTGGTTTATCTTTAATCACCTCCATGTCATTAGCGGGGCTTTTGGCATCATCGCAGCTCTTAACACATGAGGCACCTTCTTCATTTTCTTCCCCCTCCTCTTTCTCTTCATCACTACTGTCTACGATCTCTCCGTCCTCTGGCTCTTCCTCCCCTGCTTCTCTCTTGGCCCGTTTCACTTGTGGGGGTTTAGTTTCAGGGCTGGTCCCTGGGGTTCCGGTCCAGATGTTGGTTTCCCCCGGGGTGCATGCCCCATGTAGGGATGGTGAAACTTGGGTCACATCCTCCTTCTCTTGGTACATTCCTTTGTTCTTTGTTGCAAAACCAGTGCAGGCTGTTGCAGGTTCAGCTGAAACAATATCACGCCATTTGTGTATAAAAAAAGCATGATTAAACACGGCTGTTAAAAGCAGTAAAATCTCAACAAGTCCAAACATATACACAAGTGATTAGAGTGGTCAGTTACACAAACTGGGTAGAGCACAGCTGGGTTCACGCTTAAACAGACATAGTGAGAAAGAGAAGGACAGTACAGAAAGTTTGTGAATGATGACGCTATGGTTTGGCTCCATGCTGGTTTCCAGGATGAGGCAACGTGCCAAGCAATTAGTTATGCAATAAAGTAGGGTGGATGTGTAAAAGAAAGGCTGCAGAAGAAACGACTGTAAAAACGATAATTGTGAATTATAAGCAATTACTGAGGAACATGATCTCCCCGCAGTACATTTGCGGAAAATTCACTTAAAACCTCAGACACTTTGGCCAATGCATTTCTGCCTTTATCCTAAAAAATGGTTATCCAGCTGAGCCTGTAATATGAAAGATTAATGTAATTCAGCTTTCCTACTTTTTTTGCTGTAACACAATTAAAAAGCTAAACCTGCCTCCCATTAACCATTTATCTTTGGAACGGACCATATACATATAAGAGTTTTGGGTTGTGTGCATTCTCACCTTACCACAAATAAAAATATAGGCCTGCTTTTGTCCATTGTTGACAAAAATTACAGATGTAAGCAAACATTTTACAGCATCGGGACATGTCTAGGTTTTGTTTTTGCTGCAGCAAGGACGCAGCCCTGGCACAAGGGGAGCCAGCTCCACCAGGCGAGGAAGCAGCATGCCCAGGTACATGTGTAGGTTAATCCTTCCATTAGATATGTGTCAATGAAGCTTTTTTTCTTGCAGATCTCTGAGTAGCATGAGTGAGATTTGTTGCAGTATTCACAGAACTTACACCACCCAAGTGGCTGGCAGTCGTGACGTCTCCACCATTTTGTGTGGCCAACAGTGTCACAGTGGTCATTTAACCACCCTTTCTTACTTCATAAGATATATGTGATATATATATATATATATATATATATATATAGCTGTGTAACAAAGCTAACTAGCTAACTGTGCTCAGACTGGAGCAGACACCTCTGGTGCTGGGTGCTAGTTCGTCCAGTTCTACTACTCTGGCATGTCTGCGAACAGTAGAGTAATGTGGGGTTGCTTACTAGCTAGCATTGGTTTTGCTAGACATGGCAAGCTAATAGTGACAGAAGCTTTACCACACTGCTAATGCTTTGGGCGTGCGAAAGACCTCTGTGAAATTGTGGTAATTGTAGTCTGATTTTTGGTTAACAGGGCCATATTTTGTTCATGACTTATTAGTTAAACCCTTTCTCCCTCTGTGAAGCACCTACAAAAGTGTAACAAAATTTAGAATAGTCATTAAAAGGTAATTTAACAAACCACACCCAAATAACAGCAAAGTAATAATGCCATCAAAGAGATGCTGGCCCAGTGGCAATAAGGCTGAATGTCTGACCGGATGCATGCTGCATGAGTTGGAGCCTGCTGGACACTCAATATTTTATTTTATCATCACTAGATATGCCACTGCCAGCGTCCAATTGCTCTTTATCACTTCCTGCCCAGCTTCCCAGGCCATGGCATTTGCAATTATCAGATGTTTCTATGACTAACTTTTTTTTTTTTTATCAAAATAGCGTGGCACCAAGGCCTTATCACTGAAAACACACACACTCAGACTAAAATTACCTCATTCGTCATTCAGCCGGTCTGGGTCAGACAGTATAATGATACTGGGTTAGTGTGGTCTTTTGTGACCATACTAACCGTAGTGAGATATACACAGTTAGATTGCACTGTGAGCGATTTGTTTAGGATATGCAGTCCTACTTTGTCATCACTCTACATGGCCCCAAACATCCGGCATTGGTGGAAAACTGACAAACAGGTGAGAAAAACCACAGGCTGATCTCCTGTTTTCTCATCTTCTGTCATTTCACAGCTCATGAGGTCACTGTTTAAAAGTAAGCCATGTTTGATCCTCTTTTTGGATACAGTCGCTGTTGAGGTTAAGTTGGTGTGTGTGACACTGTGCAGAACACCCTCATTTCCGTTGGGGTAGCATGTTGCCATAGTGAAAAATAAGGGAATGGGGAGTCTTAAAGTCTCAGCTGGAGAAACCAGGACATGATACAATGCTGTTGGAATTGGGGAAGTAAAGAAGGGTTGGCGTTTTGGGACTACGTGTGGCTTTGACTCATGTCATACATCCACCCTTTTGTTTAGTTACAGAAAACATAGGTGAAAAAGGAAGCTGAACACAGTGATGAAGAAAGGAATTTTAGCTAATAAAGCATCAGTAGGTTAGTGTTGCTGCAGAAATTGGCTTAAAGGCAGGTTGTCATGACATTTAAAACTGGATAAGGGTGTTTTTTTTTTTACCTGGTCCTTTCAGTGGATAGTCCTTCCAATGATCTCTGATTACAACATGCAGCACAGGATATTCAATCAGTGTTTTGTAGCTCAGGTTGTCCCTTAGGCTCTTGTGAATGTCCAACTCATGGTACCTATTTCAGAAAAAAAATGGAGGCAAAAAACCCCCCCAAAAAACAACAAAGGACATGATTACAAGACAAATCAGTTACAGCATGCTGGGTAAATTATGTGACATTAGTGTCATTGTATGTCATTTCAAGTATTTAGGTGTTAGGTAGCAAAAAGAGATGACCACTGCTGCTGAAACTCTTCAAATTGCAACCGTAGCACTTTATTTCCAGCTGCCTGTGGCACGTTGATGGCGGAGAATCTCTTGAGGATTGATAGAGATTTGAGTCATGGCTTGGCACAATGAAGATCCTGCTTGGTGTTCGTCTCAAGAGATGGAAACTGACTTTACCGAGAATCAACAACATCTCTCACAAGCACATGAAGCGGCTCCCTTACTCCTCCTTTAGCTCTTTCTATGAGATGACATCAGTCTCGTCTTGTCTCTAAGTAGTCCTGTCATGCATTAGGGATGGTCATAAATCACCAGACTAAATAGTTAACTGGATTCTTGGGAGACATGGCTTGCCTCTACACTCAACCAATTCAGAACCATCCAGCTTAAGCTGTCATCACCAAAATACCAGGCATCATATATTTTACATATATACAGTAACTGGCTCCATCCCCACCAACTGTAAAACCTGTGCCAGACTGAAGATTATTGAGCCATTGTTTGTTTTGCTAAAAGCACAAGCAGACTGAGAACCGCCCAGGTAGACACCCACTCCCCAAAGCCAATGAAAGCACTGTGCTATAATGTGACATTTACAGGTCTTTACTGGCGGGCCAGCTTCCAAGAGGCCCTCCCTCATGGAAGAGTTCCTCTTAGGTGGGCTAAAGATAATTTCTCATGGTCCCACAAATAAACGGCAATATGCTCTGGCACTTCCTGCAGGACAGGATAAGGGAAAGAAGTGATAGCCTGTGGGTCTCAAAACACACAGGAAATTTCTTGCCACAGTACAACACAAATGGTTGCATGGTATTTCTGGCACATCTCAACATCAGAAGTGCAGAAACAGCCAAAGTAAAGATAAACATAAGATTTGACACAAGAATTCTAGGGCAAAAAGAAAAGGTACAAACAATAGGGGCAAAGGTTACGCAGTGAAACCGGGTTGTAGAGCTGGTATGGGCAAAGTAATTAAAGAAAATATTGTGGCAAGCAAAAGCAGGATATCTGCAACAACTGCATCCATTTGAAATGTGCATGCCAGACAAATGCTGTTTCCATTTCATTTGTTTTCATGTCTAACTTGTAATAAATTAATGTTCACGGATGTTTTTTATTTTTGTAAATATACAAGCTAAACTAAAACATAAGTGTTGGTAAACAACAGTGAAAGACAGGGAGATGGCAAAGCAGATTGCGGCTCCCTGTGGTGTCGGTAGGATTGTTAAAACTCTGGCCATTTCTAGAAACACGGCTGGATGACTCAGTCAAGAACACGCACACATCTGGTCTCTATATAGTGTTCTAGTGAATGAACAGAACACAGGGCAAGACTGATGTTCTCTTCGGGGAGGTTCCTATTGTTTTCCCCTCCACTGCTGAGACCCATCAGAAAGCATATAGCAGTGGTAAGGTGCAAGGACAAAGAAACATTAGACATTTTGATATTGAATAGGCACCATTGTGATAACAAATAGTAATGTTGAAAATATAAATTGGATGTACCCATGGCTGTCTACTGTGTCTCACTGTAACATATTAAAAGAAAAATGTTTATGTTTAATATGGACGGTGTTTGCGTGCTGCTGGCTGCAAAAGGCTTCTAGGATCCTTCCTTGAGAATTTCTTATGTCAACTTATTTTGTTTTTGTTGCAAATACTGTGTCCTTATGTAATAACAGGCCAGGTCCCCAATTATAAATATTGTGAATGCACAAATCAGACCTTGGAAGATGTATTAACTGCTTATGCCCAAGTTTAAATGTATAAAAAACCAAAGTTGATGTGAAAATGTGCAGATCGCTGAGATCTGTTGGCCAAACGAGTATATTTTGGACAAGAGAAGCAGTGACTTTATGTAACACGTTTCAATAACATTGCAGTTCATTATGAGTGCAATATAATCTGATGCGAATGCCTTGCTATTTTAGTTACAGTACCCCAAACCAGTCCGGCGTTGCAGGAGACCTGAGGAAGCATCTGCTGCACAGAAACAAACTTGAACATTGCTTTAGGGCAAGCTGAGGGAGAGCAGATTGGCAGGCTCAGGAGGGCTAAGGAGAGGGTTTGCCACAAATATTTGAGAGAAAGAACTGCCGGGACAGGACAGAAACATCACTGTCTGATGGGTCCACAACACTGGTAAAAAAAAAAAAACTGAAACTCAACCACACAGGTTTCCTTTTTTGGCTGCAAAAGTAAAAACAGCATCTCTACTTCTGACAAGTCAACAGGCGTAGATAGTTCTGTGGGATTCGGCTGGCTCAGAGGAAAAGAAGAGGTAAGGGAAAGGAGGAAAGGGCATCCACTGGATGTCAGGAGTGGAATGACTAAAAAATAAACATTAAAAAATAACACAAACAAACATCCAGAGGAGTGTGAATGGTTCTCTTGATGCACAGTCTCTCTCCTTTCCAGTAAGAGAATGTTGACTGGTTACACAGTTATGTTTAGTTTAGCACAAGAGCTCCTTTATTGGAGTGGGTTGATATTCCAGTAGACATTCAACAACAAAAACATGAAGCCATACCCTTTGTGTTAGACTTAGCAAACAACCTCTAAGTAGCCATGTCCACAGCTGCCCCATGACTTCATAACATTAATAATACCTTTTAAAATTAGGGGCTTTCTTCAAAGGCTGCATTATACAAAAACACGGAGGCCCTTTGTGGCTGCAATGCTTTGACCTTGTTTGGGACCCCTAGAAACGGATGTGACCTCAGTGTGTAGTGGGCCTCTTTTCTTATTAGAGCTATATTCTGTGGCTGTGGCTGTGTTATGTAACTGCATCTAGTTAATGTTAGGTAATTCCCCCTTGAACAACCATCCTAATTTTGTTCTAAATCCATTCATCCATCCACAATAAAATGTTGACAATAAAAACTTAATAAGAGTTGAATTATAGACTTAACTGTCCTTTATTATGCACTCTTATACTATTAAGCTCCTAAGCTGACAGAAAAAGGTTACTGAGAGAGTTGAAAGTGAGATAAAGACAGGGAGATTTATGCACCTAAACTAGTAATTATCCCAGACTTGACAAGTCAAAGTCAAAACATGGTTTGATTTACAACATACTGATTCAGTGAGTATCAGGCTAATAGCAGTTAGGAGTCATTCATAAAATCTTTCTCTGGAAACTGCTACGTGAATGATAAGAACTCTTATGACTCATTTATTTAAAAAAAAAACTTCTCAGGAAATGGCTGTACCTTTCCACCTTGATGTGATACCACGCTCTTCACTCACACAGAGGAGCTGAAAAAAACCAACAGTTGGCAACTATAAATTGGGAGATCTGCTAGAAAATACAGTGGACAGAAAAACACTTTGAAATATGGCCAGAAATTTATGTTCTTGACATAAACATCCAACAGCCATAACATTATGACCACTCGGACACCCTGACTGGTCTGCGGCTACGCAGCCCCGTACTGTGTGTTCTGACACCTCTCTATCAGAACAAGCATTAACTTTTTCAGCAATTTGAGCTACAGTAGCTCTACATACTATTATATTATATTATATTAACCATAACTGTACTTCAACACAGGAAATAATATGTTACGTTAAACAGATTTTTTTTTTTTACATTTCCAGGCAAAAGAAGGGGTTGACATGCACAGGGAAAGAGTCTTTCAATGACATTAGTCATGGGTTATATCTTATAGGCACATATAGATCATGTCAGAATTTTAAGGTAAAGGTAAACTTCCTGGTCCTATTTTTTGACAGCCTGAACAAAATTAGGACATGTTCAATGAATATTACACGACGTTTAGCACTGAGTCACTCCTATGAACACTGAGGCATGTGCTAAAATCACCACACATCTGAACAGTTGTGTCCTGTTATTCACACAGCCATGCATATATATTCATCACTGCCACTGAGGGACAGAAGCATTTTTTTGCCACATAGGAACATAAACTTTGCATGAAAAAGTTCCAAAAAACCCTGAAAAGTTCAGGGTTTTTTGGATGAAAATCTGCAGAAACATTCTGACCCACTGAACCTTATATATTGTGATTATGCAGTGTTATAAACTACCTTGTAATGACTGTCATTATGCAGGTGACACTGTAAAGGTGTGTGTCATGACATCAAAGATGATGACACATTTAGAAATATTCAAACTTTCATTAAATTTATGTAAGGGTAAAAGGTGACAGCCTAACAGCGTATGCTAAATCCCATCTCTACACTCATCTTTCATTAATTCCTCTCTACATGCTGTCATAAAATATAATTTATCTGCTCAGAAAGCGTTGGCAGCCCAGCCCACTGTGCAAAACAAAAGGCGCATGTGTGTTTTACAAGGATGAAGGATGGGATGGGAGGTTTCATGACGTTTCATGCTGGCCAGGGGGGTAATGATTATGAGCACCGAGGATCATCATTCACTCCATGACTAAGTGGAAATGGAGGGCAGCCAAACAATCCAAAAGTAGGCGAGGCAAATGGGTGCTATCAACACCATCCCCTGACCACCATGCAAAAAACAAGGGCACACAGGACAGAGACTATGGAAACAGAGCGCAAGTGAGAGAGAAAGTGAAAGAAAGCAGATGGAAGATGTAGATTCGAGTTGTGGAGAATATTCTTGATCAAAGTGAAAAGGGGAGGAGAAAAACCCCCATAAGGCCTCACTGCCAAACGTCTGTGTAGCTTTGCAGGAATTTACAAGTCAGTGATGTCAAGTTCATAAACAAATTATGTCGATTTCATACACCTTGAATAAATCAGTCATGACTGGCAACTCCGCTAGAACGGTCAGAAGAGTCACACAGACAGGATGCCTGAGCAATGACAGGATTCTGACGCACTTTAGAAGATTAAAAAAGTGACTTCCACTTAATCTTATCCAGAAAACTCAGCCACACGTCTTAAAATGAAATTATATTAGTCCCTAATAAATGGTTTACTACTTTTGTTTTCTTGTGCAGGGCAACATTTTTAACTCCATCTCTTTTGTTGGTATTTCAATAACTACATTGCAACTTAGTAATACATTCTTAAACTATGTGAAGTACAGCTGTACATATGGGACCAGTTTTAGCTTACTGCAGATATAGCTGTATCAGTAGGTTTGTCAGCTGATAAGTAACAACAAACAAACTTAAGATGTGACTATATGACAACTTTATATTTTTAATCATCTTGGTTGTCTTTTCAACATAGACGAGCCTAGCACATAGAATATCTAAGCACCAAGAGGTGCAGGTCAATTCCATAAAGAGGGTGAGTCAGAGTCGGAATCAAGGACACATCAGTTATATTGATATTGGGAACAGACATAGTTAAACAGTACAAAATAAATCTCACCTCACAGAGTTAGCCTTTCTCCCCTCTGCTTTCATGAAGACTTTCACTTGATCAAATGGAGTGTGCACATACATCTTCAACCTGAAACAGAAATTAATTTCAGCACAGGAGGATAGAGACTGAACTCCTAACCTAATCGTTAAAAAGGACAATAAAAAAAACACATGGGAACTTAGACTGGAGAATTTCCTAAGGTGGTTAGCATAAAGGTCAACACACAAAGAGCTCATTCAGTGTAGTACAGGACAGACCCAAATGTACACTTGTCTGGTATGCTGACTGATATATATACAGGCTTCTTGTGTAAGGGACAATCCTCCATGCTACTGACAGCCACGGCACCTGAGCCCACTGTAAACAGCCAGCCAATGGGCCATGGAGAGTTAAACCCCACTCACTTGAACCTAGACTAAGCAAAGTTGTGTTTAAATGGCTGGCACTGAACCAAGTCAGGCATCTACTTTAAGAGTTGAACTGGTCTCCAATATGGTCTCGCTGTAGGTTTTACAGTAGACTGCTCACTGCTGACTGTTATCAGTACAAAGGTTAGGTCAGAAGAGTCAGATCGCTGTTCTGTTAGAGGTTCAGATTAGAAATACTGAGTGTTCTGCAATCAAAGAGCCTTCCTTGTTCAAAGACTGCAGTTCATGTTGGGAGAAACATGAGCCTGGGAAATTAAAAAGAAAGTGAAGCAAGAGCAAAATTGCTGAGATAAATACAGGAAGGTAAGATTGTGGGAATTCAACATAACATGGAGAGACCTCAACCAAATCCTGTGTGGCTGAAATTGGATTGAGTTGGTTGATATTAAAGATCCAGATAAAAAAATGACCTTTGAATAACAGCTTTTGTAAATTCACTAACTACATTTTCTCCTTAGTTGAATTGAGATAAACTGAGCCTGTTAAAAGAAGCAACCGCACCTATTTATCTACTCTATGGGAAGCATTCACATTCAAGTTGAGCACATTTGTGATAAAGCGTGGTGGCACAGAACAGCAGAATGTTAATCAATTCATACACATCCACATTATACAGTTAATTTTAGCTGTTGAAAAAAAACGTGTAAAGAAAAAAGGACTAAAATACTAAGTGAACATGAATGTGCTAAGAGCTATACTTCTGGTGTCTTGACCTATTCCTTCTTATACAGGGTTCCTGTACATGCAGACTGATTTGTACTTAGTCTGTAACTGAGGCATAATCCCTAAACACACTGCAGCCAAACTCAATTACAAGGGCTCTGGTCTGGCTCGCAGGCGACAGTGGACCTGATACAGGTCATCAAAACCAAAGCTGCAGTCGTGGCTACAAATGACCTTTATTTTTAGATAAAGTATGGTCAGTTACAGTTACAGTTAGTAAACCTGAAATACAACAAGCAGCTGTATTTCTGTGTTTTAACATCTGATTCAAATGCAGTAGTGATGCTCAGGCTGCATCTTAACTACACAGTTTAAGACAGTACAAAAAGCTCATATGCTATGTAATATTCCCAGGACTATACGATGTAATAGAAAATGAATGCAATTGCGTCACACTGGTGTTGGAATTAGGGGGAGTGTTTGATATTATGCTATGCTGCCAAAGTGCAGAAATCACTGTATCTGCATTTCAGCAGTAATGGATGAGAGCAATTCAGTTTGCTTTGTCTTGCCCCAGTCGCATTCCCAGTTTTTATGAACATGAGAATCCAGTAACTAAACACAGCGTCACTGTTGTTGCCAAGACCAAAACTTTTTTTTCAAGAGAAAACAATGGGCTGAGCAGCAGTCTTTATCCTTAAATGTAGAGGTCTTCCAAACCACATATCAAACTGATGTTGATTTCTGGGTCTATTATCACATTGTTAAGTTTTCTATTTTTATTTATGATTCCAGTGACTGAACCAAAACAATAGAGTAGTTGAATTTCTACCACTAAATGCAACAAGGGGACCTATTATGCTAATTTACAGCTCTATATTCTCCACTGGAGTAGCTTTGCACAATTCACTCTAGTCCACTCGTGTAAAGACGCAATTTTAAAAAACCATCGTAACAATACTGATACAATTTAATACTTTCATACAACCTAAAAAACCTAAAGGTGTATTAAGGTCTCCACTTACAGTTAAGAAGTGATCTGTAGTTAAAACTTCACGTTAGCTAACATATTTTAATCAGTGCCACACAGAGAGAGGTTTACAGAAAGAAAGGGCAGTTTGACTGATGCGTGTATACAAAAATCACAAGAAAAATATCACATGGAATGTAAGTTGTCAATGGGACAAAGCTCACTTTTGACGTGTCACAGGGTCCGACTCTGTAGGGTGGATATAAGGGATCAAGATCTGCTCCAAGGTTAGCTTATCAGACACCCTAAAAACAAAAAGGGATTGTGAAGGAAAAACCAAATGTGAGAGAAAATATGTGAACATGTCAACACCCAAATAAAAGACAAGTCATTGTCATAATGGATAACATCACAGCTTTTACAATCTTGGACAAACTTATACAGATCTGAATGGTCACTCTTACCAAGCTGATTGAGCACCTACAGCAACAAGGACTCCTTCGAATTGAAACTGTACTGATAATTTGCTTTCAGTAAATAAAATTAAAAAATAAAACACTGGTGCTTCAGCAGAAAGTATGGGTGTATCTAGGGATGCACAATAAAGGCCTTAAAATAAAACACTGGCATCTGCTATTTCTTCCGATAGGACATGCTGAGAAGATGACGCTTGATTTATGCCGTTAACTTGGCTAAATGCTTGACGCTGCGTCGCCCAGTGCGAGGGTGCGCGAGCCAAAGATGATAATACCAGTATGTCAGCAGTGTGGAAGTTTCCAAAACGGATAGCAAAGTCATTCCGCGAACAATTCAAATTTAATTACCCATTTAAGAGCGGTCACCCAGACCATTATGAAGAATTTGTGAACAACAGAGAAAAACCACCAGCACAAACACCCGTCAACAGCCTCTTCTCCAGTCAACCAAAGCCAAAAAATATGACCGCGACCACCCCGGGGCCAAAGGCATCAATCAGAAACTCATGGAGAGTATTGCTCTGGACAACCAGCTGTTTTCGGTCGTTGAAGATGTTGAGATTTGTGGACTAAGTTGAGCCACACGCTACAGGAGGCCCAGTAACAGGTATTATTCAAGTGTGGTCTTACCTGAGCTGCAAGTCCTCATCCTAATTTTAATTTCATTTATTCAGTTAATATATTACTGAGTTCAAGCAACGGCCTGTAAAGCATATGCAGCCTACTAATTTAGGCTCATTTACTCAACAGTGTGAAAAAGAGTACACTGTATCAATGTTCTTTCAGTTGGCCTTTAATTGCTGTACAGTTGTTGAACGTGTTCACATTATCCCTGTGGACAGAGATTAGATTTATGTACTTTTTATGGAACTTTTGAAATACGCCAGATTTAAAGTTTTAATGTCAATGCGAACATTTATTTATTTTCTGCATCTGCCAGCGGGCCATCATGATAAGAGCAGGCATAATAATATGTTAATACCACAACAAGAGAGACTTGATGTTGTCTGCAATTAGGATCAAAAAATATGTGCATATATCAGCATTGGCCAAAAGGAGCTGGAAAATATTGGCAAAAATCCAATTTTGTGCATCACTAGGTATATTATTCCAGAAATGTAATATTATTGTGTAACTCACCTCCTCTGACTGAACTCTGTGCTGCTCTGAGGAAAGATGAGCTTCAGGTGCCACAGGAACAGTCTTTCTCTAAATGACACACAGCAAAAAGCAATTTTTAGTTTCAGCTTATCAACGACAGTAGTGCTTGATGCCTGTTTTTCAACCCAGATGAGGTCACCGGTGCTCTCACAGTATTCCCTTCACAGAAAACACAAATACCCTTGTTTAAATTCAGAGCATAAAATGGATTCAGCCCTAATCTGTCCAAGACAATACGCCTGGCTGCTTCCAAAATCTTGTCCATCTGTGTGACTGTGTGTGTGCGTGCTTAAATGAATAAACCAGAGTCACCATGGAGACCATGACATATACACTCAATACTAGGACACCAGCTGGTGGATATCAAATAATGATCACTTCTTCTGGGGTAATGCTTTGGGCAGTAACATTTAAAAGTGGTTGGGGTTTTTTGGGGGGGGGGGAAGTTGCTGGGCGTGCTCTACAACCAAACATTTATCCCATAAACAGCTGCTGTGTGCATATCTAGTAATGTCATCATGAAGCAGAAATAGCGCGCAAGATGTAATATATCAAACAGTTTGGGAGATATCATTAACAAGATGTAATTCTGCAATTTTTTTTACAGTAATGGATTAACTACTGGTAACTGTCTCAATGGTAACTGTCTCAATGGTCATTTGGATTTGTTTCCAGTCTGTACACCAATATGACACATTAAAATACATGTATTATTACAGACAAAGATTCCTGTTATGAAGATAAAACCAAGAAAAACATAGCAAATATATTTTTTGCTGTCCCTGAGGAATATAATATCATCTACTGGCACGGCATCAATACGTTCTGCTCTCTAGTAGTCATATACCCCACATACTGTGCTGAACCTAACTACAAGGACTTGTGTGTTGTGCGTTGACCAAGACCACAGAATCTGCCATATATAGGGTGGATTCATCAACCCATTCTCCATCAGAGAAGAGGGACGGAGGCCTTGATGGATCTGAGGGATGAAGATGAAACATACAACGCAAAGCATAATTGTAAGGCACATGTGTGAGACCTTGTTATTAGGGCTTAGTAGTCACCAAGAGATATTCAGAGCACAACTTGAAGGTTTCTTTTGATATGTGTAATATGAAGATTTTTTTTTTTTACTTATCTAAAACCAAAGCTCTCCACAGTTACTGATTATCAGCCCATTCTGAGAATATGGCAGAACAATTTGTGGTTCCTTCAACAAAAAATATTTGGATAATTTATTCATTTTAGTCATTTTTCAAGCAACAACGCAAAAAAAACATCTGGTTCCAGCATCTCAGTTGTGAGGACTTGTTGTTTTTCTCTGATTTCTATAAGTGAAAATGACATATCTTTTGGTTTTGGACTGTTAATCAGACAAAACACGTTTGAATCTTCCTTGGCTCTGAGAAATGTTTTTCATTGTTGGATAAGAGTTGCAACACTTCAGTGGACGGCTCACTGATTAGTTCCATTCACTGGTAAGTTGACGAAATTGCTGAATTTTTTTTTGACATTTTTATGCATCAGATGACCTCTGCATTTAGTCAGTAGTGGTATTCTATGTAGCCAGCTTTAATTAATGTTCAGTGTAAGCTAGTTAGATTCTAATTGCTGTTAGCTAACATAAGCAACACTTTGCTAGCTACAACAACAGACATTAGTGCTTGGCTACAGAGAGCAAGGTATAAATACCTAATCCAAGACCAGGTTTAAGTCCTTTTCTTGCCTGATAGCATTGTAGGCTATGCCTATGGAAAGGGATTGCTAGTGGAAGAATGCAATGGCTATTTTGAACACTTGTATGTCTTTCCTGGCCTGCTTTCTGCCACAAGAAAAATATTAATGCATAGATATTGTAAATGTATTCTACGTTCTGGGAACAGTCCCGATTCCCTCTGAAAATTAAACACAGAGAAACTGGTGTTGCTTCTCCGTCACTACCCAGAAATAATTATTACAGCTATTATATATACTGAATGTAAGTGTTGACAACATAGTAATCAATGTATATTATCCCCTAATATTGACTGAAAACTGCTGCAAATATAGCGGTTGCTGCCGACTGTCCCACTGGAAACCACTTAAACAGGTTGACAGCGTAGACTTATTTAGAACTATTGAGAGCTACATGAATCACATGTGTAGCGACTCTTTTATTCAAAAGGCGCTGGTCAGCAGAACACCAAAGTCATTACAATTTATCCTCTGAGGACCATTAATGTCAGCATTGAATTTCATGGCAATCCATCAAACGACTGTGTAGATATTTGACTCTGGGTTAGTACTTGATGGCCAGACTGATGGACAAACCCTAATATAATGCAGCTATATTAATGCTAAGAATGGGTCGCGTCAAAGGAGATTGATGTGACCATAATGGTAAATATGAAAAGAAATCTGTATTTTACATCAAATGTATATGTTAATTTTAATATGTACTTGCAAAATAAACAGCACAGCATGCATGTAAAACATTTTCATTCCATTGTACTGACAAAGACAGGTTCAACATTTAGTATGTTAGTAGGGTTATTTTTGTACCATTGTTAAACGGGTATTAGCATGACATAAGACAGAAAAAACTGGTCAAATAAATATAAGCAATGCAACAATATAAAGTGCATATTCTGAGAAACTCCATAATCACTGGCAATGAGCTACTCGACTCTACCCCTGGTGTCTTTTGACAGTAGGCATTGTTCTGGTGCTTGTGAGGTTTTTTTGCAGATCCAGGTGGTAGCATTATATAACAGGGGGCATATTTTTTCCTTGAAAACAGAAACAGGACGGGCAGGGGGAGTTCAAAAGCAAAGAAGTATGTGCAGAACTGGCCAATGAAAGGTGGTTATGAGTTTCCACTTGACTGTAAGCAGAAGGTGAAGGAGTGAAGCTGTGGGTAGTGAAGGCAGCAGCAGGCATGTTGGATTTGAAAACAAGGGGCTGGGAGGGGATTCCCTATGCAACTGTAGGAGGTACCCAACACCTCTAACCCCTGAGTCAGAGGAATTTATGTGTTGGCTCAGTTTCTTCTTTGGTGCATCAGTGTGTGCATGTGTATACGTGTGCAGGTGTGTATGTGTTTGTACGTGCAAGCAAATGAGGGTGGAGCACCAGGTGTGATGCCATTATTCTGTCATTACAGCAAATGGAAACTATGTCTTTCAATGGAAAAGGGGCTTGCCCAAAGATTCATGCAATCATTTCAGGCAAGGCCACGGTGCATACCTGGGATAAGTGCCATCATTCATTGTCAGGAAAAAACGAGGAGAGAGCAGCATAAGAAAGTCAAAACAGAAGGACCAACAGTGGAGGACAACTGCTTTGAATACCAGAACCTGCTGAAAAATATCACACTGCCTAGCCTTCAACAGTTATTGCTGCAGGGCCTTGAGCAAGGCCATTGAACTCTAAAGGAGAGCAGTGGCAAACAGTGAAAAGCCAGTTGTGCAAAGTAGTCCCCATGTGTAATTTTGTATACAAGAGGTGCAATTCCTCCTGAAAACATGCCTGTTTACAAAGATTAAGTGCTTAAACTACACAAAGATTATTTTGAAAAGTTTATAACCTCAACATAATTCCATGCAATAAGCTACCCGCTGCCATACATGGCTCGCATTAAAAGGGATTTCTTCACCAACAGGGATTATTCATCAAACAGCACAAAAACTAAAACCAACAAAATAAAATAGAATTGATACATGGTCAGAAAAGAGTGGGTAAAAGAGTAAACATGTTTCATTAATACGCTACTGTACAAGTGATTACCTGCTTGTTTCTAGGGAAGAAAATGATTCCTTCAAATCTCCCAGTTAATGAATAAGCTACTGAGTGGGTATCAATCTGTAACTGCATGTGTGTTTTTTTATTTGCATATATGAGGAATAATACACTCCAGAGTCTACAGGACTCTTGTGGTGATACTGCTTCCCAAAAGGTTGCCTTGACTTCTTATGAAAACTTAAAACCATTAAAGCAGACCCTATAAAAATACCCCACTTTTAGGAAAAAAGGCCTGTTACTGTATTTGTAGTTAATGAATGCACAGATAGTTTTTAATAATCAAGCTAGTTATGTATTTTACATTAAAACTAGAAATACCACCCTGTGGTTAAATGGCTCCGCCAGGCAGTCAAGTTGCAGCTTAAATCTGTCTGTCCAGATTCATATGTGGTGAAGAATTACATACAATTAAATAAAAAGGTATAAAGTTTTTTGGCTCAAAGGAAGTTATCACTATATTGATCCCAGTGAATATATATTACACATGCCCTTGATTACTATGTAAAGATGAATTCTTACAGCTAGTATAGCTACACAAAATGTGTTTATTTTCTCCTGGCATTTTTATGTGTGATGCATTCAGAGGCAGTAAGAAAAAGGCAAAATGGATAAGATGTTTACTTTTTTTTTATTATTGTTTACTTATTGTGTTGTTCCAGTCAACATAATTCTTAAATGATGGCTAGAAACCTATTTTGAGGTCACAATGACCTTTGATCATTGAGTCAACAAAAATATGTCACGGCCATTTTAAGGTCACAGTGACCTTTCAGTCAAAAGTATCACTGACTCACTGACCAAAATTAATCAGTTTATCCTCGAGTCCAAGTGGTCGTTTGTGCCAAATTTAAAGAAATTCCCTGGAGGCGTTCCTAAGATATTGAATTCACAAGAATGCAACGGACAGACAACGGCCCCAACTGCCAGAGCAATCACCAGTGTGGAAATTTGCCATCTTTGCTCTGGAGAGCTTTATAAATACAAATGCTGATGTCTACGCTTCAGTGAGTACTATATTTGTTCTGCTCTTTACAAACCTGACTACAAAACTATATCTGTACAAAGTGTGTGATTTTAGTTTTAAATGCATAAAAACATCTTCCACAAAGAACTGCAAATAATTATAATCCCCAGAACTTTGCCTCTCTTTATAAACCTAAACTGAGTCCGAGCAACTGTCTTCATTCATGAGGGAGATTGAGAAATAAAGCAGACTCCAGGACAATGGATGAATTCATTAACGAGAACACACACTGTTGATTAAG